TTTTTTCCCCCCCCCCCCCCCCCCCCCCCCCCCCATTTTTAGAACTTGCTACCTTTAGGCTTACGCCCAAACTCCCGGACCATTTTAGGATTAGGATTTGACCGTTTTTTCAACAACAAAAAAGTATTAACTTTCACCCCAACCACATTCAGCCGGATTTTCGTACGTTCCATCGAGCACGACATTTTAAAACTCACCTTTATGGCATTGGTACCAAAGGTGCTAGAAATTTTGCCGGACTAAATAGGGGGTGATTTAAAAAATACACTCCACCGTTTTCTATGAGAGAAACTTACTTCACTAAATGCTAAAGGAGGTACACGTTGGCAATGCGATCAACATTGGATGGTTATAAGATGTTCACGTGTGTCAGGTTTTTTTTCAGCTCCCCTGCCTAAGTCGTGCAATGCCCATTTAGATGTGAGTGGAAGATGCTTAGAGGTGGATCATGCCACCTTAAGTGAGGTAATGATCTTTGCTCAATTATCTCATAATTCAATGAAAATTTGGCAAACGGTGGGATTATTTTGAGAATAGCCAGCAGAAAAAAAATATTGGTTCATACTTCTAGTGGAGGGTGAGAAAAGTAAGTTTTAATTTGATCTTGCGAGCACAAAATAGTCTCCAACCCCTAGGTGTTAAATTCCTAACTTCATGGTTGTTTTTAATGTCACCACCCTATTTTGATTTGCCACAACTCTCCAAAGGAAGGTTGGATGCAGGTGATTCTCGACAGAGAAATTCATGAGTTTAAGAGATTTTCTCTAATCTACAAGATGGAGCTGTAATTTGATAGAGGGCGCTGTTGTTGACCGGAAAGCCCTCTCTTTTCGTGCTACTCCGCTCTTTAGGTAGAAGAAGAAAAACCTGTACGATTTATCTTTTGAGCCTTTGAACCTTACATGAGTCTCTTTGCCAAAAAAATATCAGTATTATTGGAGAGCCCTTTCAAAAGATTTCTTTTTGAAGCTAATTTTTTTAGTGAGAATTTAGTCCAAATCGGTTTAAGGCCTAAACAGGGCAAACTTCTCTATTTGAATTTTGTGATAATTGAGCATAGACCATTACTGCATTTCAGGTGTAATGATTAACCAATAAACATTGTAACAGGACACTGCATAGCTCAAAGAATTGCTCTGAGAAAAACCCAATCTTCTCAACACCTTGTATATGCCCAATATCAAGAGTTTATGAATCTTATCATTTTTGCTCCAATATACGAATTTTATTTTCTCCCATAGAAAACGGTGAAGCTTTAATTTTGAATCACCCTAAATAGAAAGATCACTAGGAAGTCTCCTTATTAGAGGAAGTGAATTAAAGGGAAACCTTCCGACTTTTGTCGATGCAATAGTCGGACCCTAGTAGCGCATAACATTGAATCAACGTTGAATCAATGTTGTTTCAACGTTATGTTCCACTAGGGGAGCTACCTGCTCAATGTCTTTTAAGTATCTTAATGGTACTAGACTGGATTCTAGTAGATCCTATCTTGTACTAGATCTTGTTCTCCCAGTAATTCTTTAAATATTAACCTCTTGAAATATTTTGCTAAGCGGAAACGTTCTGAAAGTGTCAGAAGGGAATTTTTACGCATTAAATGGCGAACAGATCGTTTATATTGTGTTTACTTAATTATTGCAGGGTTTGATTTCTTATATGTGAGGTCTCATAGGTAAGGATATAAAATTACCAGTAAAAAAGATGGCATTACTTACTGGTAATGTACAAGTAAATTACTCGTAATTAATTGTATTTTACCATCGTATTACCACTAGGTTACCTGTGCTCGGAAAAAGCTACAGTAGAAAAAATTAAATTTTTTTTTAGCTGAAAGTGGCAATATTCTCTTCTGCAGTTCTAGATAGCAAAAATATATTATTCCTTGGGCAGTCTGAATGGAGCTTCATAAGAGACCTTTAGGGATGCGGAAACAGACGTTGCTGCAGCAAAGCTTTAATTTTCAACATAGGTACAGTATTTCAACGTATAGTACTTCAATACGTGTCAAAGGCATTCACCATACTCGGGTAGTCATGTTACGCAGCAATGATGGGGGAAAAAACAGATTCAAATGAGAAACACTATACATGATGACCATGCATCATCATGACTGTCCCAGAACAACACTTCTGCATTATTAATTAAGAAAACAATAATGATTTCAGCAGCAATTACAGTTCAAGCTTAATTAGAATATATCTAACTAGTGTCATCACTTCTTCTACACTAAGCACTTTATGGCCTACATAAACACGTCAGTGCCTATATCGGAAAATAGATCTGACTCAGTAAGGTTTTGAATCCTGGCTCCTAGTTATGCGAGCCGAAATTGTCATTCTGCTTGCTTCATGCGACGAAATTTGAATGCTTTTCAGTCACAGTCTTATTTGCTCCAAATCAAACGTTCCTCTTGAAAGAAGTAATGGTAGATCGGCTGAAGTGATTGCAAACACTGATGGAGTAAGCATGAAAAAAATCATTTACTGCAGATACTTTGACCGTCAATGGTCCAGCATTGAATGAATGTTGACCCAATGTGGTTGTATTAACGGTGACGCTCACAGCGTTGAATCAATGTTGATGAAACATGGATGTAGCAACATTGATACCTTCAATCCACACCTTGTCAATAATGATACAACGCCTCATTCTAAACACGTCGGCGTCATGACGGGAATGAAAATGCCAGATGTGTTCCGATTTCAAACTTCTGCTTTACGCACTACTTTGCGCACAAGCCCAACATGCTATCAGGCGAGCCACTGACCCCGAACTTCGTGGATTTAACTATGTGGTGGTCCACCGAGTTTCAATTACAACACCATGAAAGTGTGACGCAGAACCGTCTGAGGTTTAGAGTTTTCCATTGATGCTGGTTTCTTTCCTATCCAATGGAAGAGGGAAGAGTTCCTCCACCAAGAGCCATTAGAAGTGCCCACATTTCATTTCCAATATCTCAGAGGTTGAAAGTTCAATTGAAATATGAACTTTCCCCAGTAGCCCATAACATTGAATCAATATTGTTAAAATGCTGATTCAACGTCTGGATAATGATTCATTGTTAGGTGCTACTAGGGTAACTGAGCAAGTCAGGGGGCTTGATATCTTCCTTAAAAGCAAATAAACAATTTTTTTTTTGCCAAAATATCACCCAGGTGGCCTTTGTGATCCATCAGTCACAGGGCCACTAAACTCCGTTGTCCAGGAGCCCCACCCCTAGGAAACCAAGGTTTGCAGTGCAGGGTTGCAGTACAGGCAGTGCAGACTGCCCATTGCAGCCGTGCTTGCAAAACAATTTTTTTAAGATTTTTTTATGGCAAAAAAAATGTATTTCATCTAATCAAGAATTCGGTTTCCGAGGAGACAATGACGACAAAATTTCACAACAATACATCGCAACATAATAAATTTAGGTGGCGTTTCTTATGACCAACTACACCAGGGGTGTTCAAACTTTTTGAGTTTGTGGGCCGCATGGACAATAACTTCTTTCTCGAGGGCCGCTCGATTTTGAACCGATAATATATAAGATTAAATTAATAAAGAGGGCGGAAACCCCTCATATTTTTTTTTAAACAGACCTTGTTTATCTGAGACATGATGTAAATATGATTAAGACACGATTGAGAAGGTCTGTTCACTGGGATATATACTGATGCAATTAAGGTAGTCATCATTTGGGCGTGGTGAAGAAATTTTAGAAAACAACTCTCATCCATGCATATACGAGCAGAGACATGGTTCGTGAATATGTTTTTCAGTTCGTTTGTCAAAATTTCAGTCCGATGACTTCTATTTGCATTTCTTCAGGTACATTCTCAACATTCGCCCTGAGCGGAAAACGGAATAGCCGAATTTTTTCCTGGAGCCCGGAGAAATCCCGAAATCGTTTTCTGAATTTGGCCCGATGATGTTCTCAGTGCAGCAATTTCATTTTGAAAGTACTCATGGCTGAACGAAAGTTCGAGGTGAAGCAATCGCACCCTTGACCTTGACCTTGAAGAAGATTGTCATTCACGTGAACCGTCTCGTCTGCTAGAAATACCAATACCAATACAAGTACAAAGTTTGGAAAAATCAATAAGAGAATTTCCGTATTCCTCAGAGAACTTTTTTTTTTCTTCTCATGACAAATCGAGCACACATCCTTGCCGTTCAAGTCTTTAAGAATAAAATAACTTCCCAGCGACTTCGAAGTTTTCGGTACTCACAATCAACCGCAGGCCAGAGAGAATCCTTCGGCGGGCCGGATCTGGCCCAGGGGCCGTAGTTTGAGCACCCCTGAACTACACCAATCGAGTTGCACCTGGCCTACGGCCTACCATGTCCTTGCGGAATTCGGTTCAGGGGAGTACTTGGACCATTTGGACTACGGTACCAAGGGACGTATACATCAGCCACCACCACGACTCAAGTGCTACAGCTACTCCACTTATTACTACTTCGAAGCTCGGACCTGCATAACCAATGACCCAATATGTCGGCTCCACGGGTTCCCAATCCATTTCCTATTCTTCTTCAGTCTATGTATGTTGGTATTTGAGGTTTCTTTGTAATGCCTGCCGCTGGCAGCGTTTGTGTGGGAGGCTGAGGTCGCCACCCTCAACTTACTGTTCGCATTCTGATTTTAACCCCTACCAATGCGAATTCATTT